GAGAAGGCAGATGCTTGCATGCCAGGAAAAAAGCCCTTAGCAGCACCTGACCACACGGGCACACTGACCTTCAGCTTTCAGAACTGTGAGAAAGTTCATGTCAGTTGTTGGAGCCACCCAGTCTCCCGCGTGCTGTTATTGTCGCAGCCTGAGTGACTAAGGCGCCCTGCTCTTGCCATCACTGCACCCACAAAGAGACAGAAAAACGCAGGGACTTTATCTGGAGAGCTGGAAAGCCTTGTTCCCCTCCACCCAGAGAAACGCAGGTAAAAACACAGGCGTGCATTAATCACTCAGCCTGCTCCTGCATGCCCCGTGAGCTTTCAATCAGCTTTAACAACACGAAGGGACTGCCAAGGGTCACACAGACATGAAGAAGGCCTCCAAGTAAAAAAATCAAAATAAAAAATAAAAAAAGACCAAAACACACAGGGAGGGGGAAAAAAAAAAACATTGCGGAAAAAAAAAATTTGTAATGAGCCTTGAAGAGACCACCACGAAATCCGTGAGAAAAAGGAAGCGAATGATGTCAGGCAAGGGACAAAAGAACAACCAACAGCTCATAAAACTGTTTGGGAAGTGGAAGCTTTTCAACGAGGTAAAAGGACTGTCATCTCCCAGGCAGCGGGATGACACGTAAGACTTTTCCCAGTGTTCACACTGCAGTGATGGGACAAACGCTTCCAGAGTCTGTAGGAAAAATCATTTCCAATGTAAAAAAAAAAAACAAAAAACTCAAGGGCTGAACCGTCAAACATGAGGGTAAAAAATAAAATTATATATATATAAAAAAATGTGCTTCTCTCCCACACTGCTTCCCAGTCCCTTACAGAGGAAACCAACACGAGGGAAAGAAACGACACGACGAGGGTAGGGGAATCCAGGAAAAAAACGAGAGAGATTCAACAGAAGTTTCCAGAATTTGTCAACTTGGGCAAGTCCCAAGGTGATGGCTCCACAGAGGCCAAGGAGGAAAGTACTGAGCCTGGCGTGGGGAGGAGGGCCAGGGAAGGGATGGACAACCATAGCACCAAACGGAACCCGCGAGTTTATCGGACAGATCTGCCCATCTCTAAAACTCTACTCGGAAGTTTGTTATGATGCTGACGGAGGGCAGAGAGAGACCTTACCAGAGAAAACTAGAGGAAAAAGGGGGGAAAAAAAAGAAAGAAAACCACAAAAAATCCACACAGGAGAAAATTGCAACCACACTGTCCATATTTGTTCATGGGATAACTCTAATGATAAACTTAGAAAACGGCAGAAAAGATGGATGAGAACGTAGCTTGAGAAAGCGTCCCACAGCCACACCTTGGAAATCACTTTTACACAATTTCTTATTATTCAATTAGAATAAAAGCCTTCCGTTTCATTAAATTCTTGTAAGCGTATTTGCAAAAGTTCAGTGACATTCTCCATGTTCTCTCTCAGTCACCTAAGCATGTGTGTGCTTCCTTTGGTTTGCCACGATGTTATCCTAAACTTCAGGACATGTCCCCAGGAAGATGGCTTTACTCATGAGTAGACAGCTTCTCTAACCACCAGACCTGATTAGCATTTAGTTTCAGAAGTCTAAAACATGGACCCAGCTCAATGACTCAGTGGCTAAATCCTCATTTTGCAAGCGCTAGGATCCCATATGGGTGCCAGTTTGTATACTGGCTCCTCCACTTCCCATCCAGCTCCCTGCTTGTGGCCTGGGAAAGCAATCAAGGATGGCCCAAAGCCTTGGGACCCTGCACCTGTATGGGAAACTTGGAAGAAGTTCCTGGCTTCCGATTGGCTCAGCTCTGGCCGTTGCAGCCACCTGGGGAGTGAACCATCAGATGGAAGATCTTCCTCTCAGTAAATCTGCTTTTCCAAGCAAAATAAATCTTTAAGGAAAAAAAAAAAAGAAAGAAATCTAAAACAGGACACAGATATTTAGGCTAGTAGTGAGGCAGGCAGACTCCCGGCTCTGGCCCCTGGCCTGTCTGCTCCCAGCTAACAGAGAGCCTGCGGAGAGCAGCAGAGGGGATCCGTGTACAGGCTGGTTCCTACGGCCCACTCAGGAACACGGGCTGGGATTCCTGGTCCCAGTTTCCCTCCCCAATCCTGGCCTTTGGGACTCGCCAGCTGATGCAGAGCTCTCTGTCTTGCCAGTGAAAAAAATTTTTAAAAATTTAATCCAAAATGTTTTTGCACTTTTAGTAAGCCATCAATTTGCCTTGCTGGCACTTGACGATCTACCCAGGAGAACACACGTCTGGTGGGTCAAGGGGCGCCTTCATCCCTCAGCAGAAGCAAAAACCAGCTGATTCCAGCAGCGGCGGCGGCTGCAAGGGCCCCATTTCCCAGCATTATGGGCACGAAGTGCGCGGGATACGGTGCGGGCTTGGGCCACGTCCGATGGTCGTGCCCCACGGGCCTCTGCCAGTCCACAGGAGGACATTATAGAATGGTGTGTGGGTCGTTGTACACACTGCATGGGCCTAGACCAGCTATGCTTTCATAATTCTCATGTCCTTCTCTCTTTTTTTTTTCCTCCAACAGGTTTAACCCATTTTTTTTTTATTTTCGTCACAAGGCTAAAAAATAAAAAAAAAAGAATAATTACGCTTCAGACTCAAGTGACATTCACCGATGCCCTTCCATATCCATACATCCATTTAATGCAATTATTTGCTGCTAGCACGGTCACCAAGGCAAAAAGAATTTTTGCAGCTCTACCTAAGGGGCATTAAAAAAAAAAGATCTATTATAAATGCAGGAGCTTAATGGTTTAATGGACGTGGGGGAGCTAGATTTTCTGGCGGGGTGCGTGTGTCAGCTTGGGTTTTGTCGAAAGAGGATCTAGTTTGCTTGTTGAGATCTTTCTAACTAACTGAGTGGACGGGTCACTGACCTGCAAACAGCCAGCTGAGAGCACCATCAAACAGCACACACCCGCAACAACACACACTGCAGACTTCCGGTCACCGACACTTATAGAAAAAGCTCCCAGACACCAGTACAGTGTTACAAAATCAGGACTTTGCTATCTGCACTTCTGTCTCTTAAAACAAAAAAAAAGGGCACAAACCCAATCTTGTCACTTTAACACCACTAGTTGTTAAGCATTTCAAATCCAAACTTTTTTTTTTGGTAAAGGATATGATCACTTCCCAAAAGGAAGCATTTCTACCACAAAAACTGCCACCAAGGAGCAGGCTTGTGGCCTAGCAGCTAAGAGACAAGGCGACAGTGGGACTTTGTTCTTGAACCTGAGCCCTGTAGGTGACCAGGGGTCCTGCCTCTGGCTTCCGGCTCACGCGCCCCCCGGGAGGTCACGATGGATGCATGGACTAATTCACATGAGTGTTAATATCTTGTTACTATTCAAAAACCCTACATGAGCCACAGGAAAATACCTTCCCACATCTAATGTGAAAAAAAAATTACCAATGCTTCTATTTAAGCTTAAAAAAATGTAGGCAGTGACCCCCACACAGTGAGAATTCTAAAACCAATTCAAAAATCCTGCAAAAAATTATATTAACAGCCATTTCACCCTAAGCTCCATTTGTGCGTTCACATTTTCAGAAAGAGTCGTTCAGGAAATCTTCTTTCTTTCTTTTCCGTTATCCCAGTATTCCGTATTCTTCAGAATGTGAGAAAGGGCCAGGGAAGTTTTCGCTCACCACAGACTAAACTGAGAACCAAGCCGCATCGGAATAAACCTCCAGACATTTTGCATTTAAACTTTAGCCACCACCATTGAAACAAAAACAGCTGTAAAATTCTAACCACCTAAGAGAGTCTGAGCAAAAGTTAAGACAAATTCGATTTTCAAGACCCCCCCCCCTCCAAGGTAAGATCTTGAGGTTACTGCACCAGAGCACCTGCCTGCTGGTTCCGGTGAGATGTCAACGCTTGGCCGCGGGCACAATCAGCTAAGGGAGAAGTAACACTGTTACTCCACACGCCTGCCAGAGTTGTGAAAATTAAAACATCGCAACTCAAACATCTAGAGACTTTTTCAACACCTAAGCTCAAACGGCCTGCTTGGTTCCTTAAAAAGGGGGGGAAGGGGAGGAGGGGGGACAATGTAAATCTATCATGACGATCATGGGGGAACTTCAAGCACGCGCTCACACGAACATGTGGTTTTCAACAAGTCTACATAGTTTCCTAGTCTCAGAGCCCAGTGCCTCCATAGCTAAATCCGCAGCACCATTCATTGTCAAGAAACGCGCCTTCGAATAGCCCAGATTCATAAAAGGAAGCGGACTGTGTTTGAAAAGGATGCTGAAGGCGTTGCTTCTCAATCCAGTATTTTGCATCTGACCCCAAAATGTCACAGCTCCCGATTTTATCATTTGCTTGGGGCGGGGGGGAGGCGGAGAGAGAGAAAAAAAATGGCTGAAAAATCTTGCAGAGGGTGGGATTGGCAACAAGACCACTCCACACACACGTACTTGGGGGCCACAGAGACTCAGAAGCGAGTAGCCAACAGCACCCTTGGGGTGCTAGAGAGGGGGACCCACACGGCACCTCATTTCCCTGCACAGGCCTCGGAGTAGCTGCCGGCGGACTCTCTCTCTCTCTCTCTCTCTCCTCTCTTCTGTGTCACTAACACGAATTCCCCAGGTCTACACGCGCGGGACACGCATCCATCAAGTACTCCTCGGACCCAACTCTTCTCTCCCATCTGGCACCCTTGACAGGGACCAAACCTTTCCTCCCCCCGCAGCGCACACACACCCGCAGAAAGGCGCGCGCGCGCACACACACACACACACACACACACACACACACACACACCCAGAGCTTTCCCTACCATTCACTCTCCGTCTCCGCCACCGAAATGACAGGCAGTTATCGGCTGCGATCTGCAAAATCGCCGGCGGAGAACAACCCCTCGCCTCCTGCCCCCTTTCCAGGCTGTGGCGCGCGCGCACGCAAGCCACACACACACACACAGACCTCGGGGTGCACGGCGGGGACCCCAGAGGCGTCGGGCCCGGCCCGTCCGCACCCACCTCGCGGCGGAAGAGGCTGCGGAGCCTGCAGAGGCTTCACCTCGCCGTTCTCCTCCCGGGCGGCCGCCCCGCCGAGGCCGTGCCTCCGCTTCTCCTTCTCCCGCCTGTCCTTGGGTGTGCGCGGCTTGGCCGGCTGCAGGAGCTGCGGAGGCTGAGCGCGCGGCGGCAGCGCAGGAGGGACCAGCACTTTACGCGGAGGTACCGGAGGAGACAGGGAAGCCGAGGCTGCGCCGGAGGAGGAGGAGAAAGAGCTTCGAGAAGAGGATGACGGGGACGCGGCCGACAGAGACGAGAAGCTCCAGGACGCCGGGCTGCCATAGCTCCGAGGAGAAGGTGCCGCCGCCACCGCCGGCTGAGGCTGCCTGCTGTGGACGCCGCCGCTGCCCCCTTCTCCGTTCACTCTCCGCGGCAGCTTCTTCTCTTCCGTCCGGACCTTCTTGGCCGACAGAGCCCCCGGTAGGTCCCGGGAGAAGGGCTGCAGCTTGCCCGATACTTCTTTCTCTGGGACGGTGGCGGCGCCGTGCACGGGACTCGGCGCTTCCGCCATTTTGCGCTCCTCTTGTATTTACTCTCCTCGGTTCCCTTAGCGCGGGGCGCGGGGGCGGAGTGCCCGGGGAAGGGGGGGAGAGAGAGAGAGAGAGAGAGAGAGAGAGAGAGAGAGAGAGAGAGGGGAGACACGCCGGCCGGGCCGCCCCATTGGGCGAAGCACGCTGAGGGAGCCGTGGGGCAGCCAGTGAAACAGGCCAACGCAAGCCGAAAGGGCGGGCGCGCAGAGCGGTGCGCCTTCGGAGGTCAGAGCGCGGCGGGGCGCGGCCGGCGGCGGAGCGAATTGCGGAGGCCGAGGCTCCTCACATCCCGCCGAGGCCAGCCCGGAGCCGGGGGTGGTGTCCTGTGACTCGGGGTATCCTCGGGGAGCTGTCAGGAGGCACCCCGCCGCATTGCCGCTTTGCGCCCTGGGAGAAGCGAATTGCGCTTTGGGAAAAGCCAATTTCAGGGATGCATGCGCAACTGGGAAAAGTTTTCGCCGGACTTGAAGTCCTCTTTTTCCGGTGGTGGTTAGTCGGTGGGGTGGGAGGGATTCAAGAGTGACTTGGCGCGGTGAGAGTGTGCGTGATTCTGACATTCCGAACGCCAAGGCTGGAGGGAAATGTTAGCTTTTCTGCAGACATGGCGCATTCTTTCTGACCCTGAAGGTAAGAACCCCGTCTGGACCCGGAAACTTTTTTTTTTTCAGCTCTTACGATGGGACCCCTAAAGATTTTGCTGGTCTAATGATTTGTGTACCTTAGATTCGCCAAGAATAAAAACCCTGAAACTCTCATGGAACGTTCCATGTTTTGTAGGCGTGCGTTTTGATTTTTATCTTCGAAGATAAGGAGTTTGTGAAAGACGGATTTTTTTTTTTTGGATTTACAAGATAAGAACTTGACGAGGCAGTTGAGAATACGGTTGTCACCATAGCAAAGACTGCGGGTTTGATTTAATGGTTAGATCTTGCAAGAGCTCAGAAAGTCCACGGAATGGATGAAAATAATAATAATAATGATGATAATAATAATAAATGAAAGTAGTTAAGACGGCCAGATGAAAGGAGTCGGAAGCGAAACCTAACTTGCCTGTAGCTCTGTGGAAGGAATGGAGGCAGTTTAAGGATTAGCCGTTCTTGTGACTTTAGGAAGTTGGAATTCTGAGTTTCGTGTTGTTTCTCTAAAATGCCTAGGATTTGACCGGCGGCAGACTGGGGAGACAGGATGGGGCTGGAAGTTACCACCTGTTCCTGCCCCCAACCCCCGGTCTTGGGTCTTAGGTGCTTTATTTTCAGGTCCTCTTTTTGGGTAAGGAAATCCGTGTCATGAGTTCTCTTCCACATTCCAAACTTCTACCAAGTTCAAGAAGCTTTAGGAAAAATCAAACTGAACGGACTGGCGTCTTGGTGTTGGGAGCTAAGCTTCTGCCTGTGGTGTGAGCATCCCATATGGATGTCAGTTCGAGTCCCAGCTGCTCCACTTCCCATCCAGCTCCCTGCTGGTGGCCTGAGCAAGCGGCAGAGGATGCCCCCATGTCCTTGGGACCCTGTACCCAAGTGGGAGAACCAGAAGCAGCTCCCGGCTCGTGGCTTTGTGGCCATTTGGGGGAGTGAAGAGGGAGATGGGAAGCTTTTCTGTGCCTCTCCTTACCTCTGTAACCCATGAAACTGCTTCCCAGAATCTTTGAGACTAAGCAAGATTTCTCATTCTCTCTCTGGCTTTCAAGTGAGTGGAAAAACAAAAACAAAAAAAACCCAGCTTATATGCCATACTAAAAAGTGTGACTTTTTAAAGGGATGGTTGAAGGGACTGAAATATAATGAGATTTATAGTTTACAAATAAAAGAGTTTTTGCAGCAGCAGAATGGTTGATGTGAATAAAGACCAAGGAGGCTTCACTGGAATTTGTGGCTATAACCAACCAGTAAATCATTTCCAACAAGGAGCCAGAACTGACTCAAGTATTTAGAACGGACCCTGAATTCAGCTTAAAGGACAGCTGGGATGTAAGGGGGAGATCATGGGCTCAAAGTCTCGGGGGGAAAAGGCCAGTGCAATTCCATCGGTGAGAAGGGGTGGTGTTTAGAATAGGAAGCCAAAGGCAAATATAAGAGAGAAGTGGATGACTTTGGTGCTGGGAAAGTGACACAAGGAATTGGTTACCACAGTAGACACTCACTCTCAGTTATTCCTTAGGAACAATCTGGTGAGAAAAGCAGAAAAGCTAATTCAACAAATAACTGCTGCTTCACAATGATGAGACTGGGGTACGGGATCCTTTGACTGAGCCCTCCTGCAGAGGCTAGAGTCCGTGCTGTGATGGGTGCTGCTGGGACCTGCACCCCTCCCTGGGAACAGCTGCACGTGGTGGCGGGGCGGGGGGCTGAGGTGCAGGGTCTGGGTGCTGTGCACGCAGAAGCATGCCTGGGCCCCTTTTAGTGGAGTGTGGCTGAGAAATAAACGGATGTGGGGCTGGAGACTGAACCGACCAGGCAACTATATTCCCAGTGTGTCTGTAGTCTGATGCAGGTGACCCTGTACTGGCTGGCACTTGCAAAACCCGGGCCTTGAGTCATTCCAGGTGAGGTTTCTTGGAGGGACTCCCAGACTAGACCACTGGACTCAAAACTCCAACCACAGTGGGGACCACAGAATTTGTGGTCCACCCTTGGAATGCATGTGTTAGGACTGGGCCTCCTTGATTGCTGAAGCCTGTGCAATGGACAGCAAGCCCAGGTGATGGGAGACAAGATGGCCAGCTCATTTGCGACTGCAGAGGACCCCAAATGCCGTGTCAGAAGATGGAGAACAGAACAGGTTGGACAACTCTCCTGGCTGCGCTTTGTCAGCAGGTGTCTGGCTGAATGGACGCGCTGGGGTGGACTCTGTCAGCCAGTGGACCTTGGAGGGATTTTTTTTTTCAACCTTGAAGTGTCTCAGAATTATCAAAACTACTTAAGTAATACCCTCAGAACGTTCTTCTCCACATCGGGGTTTCTAAGATGGCATCTTATCCCCAGGTAGTGATGCAGTTTGGCAGATGGGAGTGCCTCCTGTGCCCTCCTTGCCCATACATACAGGAGAAATGTGAAGAAAATGAAAATCGGAAGCATTTGGCCCACACACCTTGACCCACACCTTGACCCTCTCCACCCTAGTCAGTGGTCCTCAGGGGTGTGCGTCCTTATCCACTACGTAAACAGCATCCAAAATAAAATTTTTAAAAAATTAAAATGCATTTAATACCCTTAACCAACCAACCATTCCAGCTGAGCAACGCCAAGTGTATGATAGAGTATTGGTTGTTTATCCTCATAACCAGCTAACCAGCTCCACAAGAAAATACACCACATGTCACAAGCCTAGGACAAGACCAGAATGTAAAAATTATGTCAATCCCTTTTGCATCATTATGAAGAGAGAAGGCTGTGAGTGGAACTCTTGCCATCTGGAGACCATCCACGTGTGCCCTCACTGCAAGATACTCTAGTTGATATGTTCCCATATGGAAATGAAGTGATCTTACTTGATAAATACATAGTGGGTTTTTTTTTTAACGTGAGGTTTCCAATGCAAGCCAGACAAAACATCTGTGAATCAGATTATAAAGCAGGGTCTGCCAGACTTACTTGTGATGTAGACAAGCTGGATTTAGTTTCCTTAGGGTCCCGTTTGAAGGGTTTTCTTCACAGTCCCGCCTTGGAGAATGGCTGGAGTGGATGCTAAGCGGAACTTCAGCCATCACAGTTAATGCATGAGCAAAGCTTGCAGCTATCTCCCCACGCCATCTACCATCTGGCTTTCCTGTGCAGTTTCCTCCTGCGTTCCTGAACTCGACTGCATTTTCACTGTGCAAGCGTGTTTAGCCTCTGGCCTTGTTCGGGTGCATGAGCACCTTGGATGAAGCTAACAGTATTTGGCCCCTGTGCCTCATGGAACCAGGTGCTGACTTGGAAAGACTTTCCTTCTGCCTGGAGACAAGGCTTCTCACAGCTCTGCACCCAGCGTGCTGAGCTGCTCACCTGTGATGCGACTTTCTCATCTGGATGAGTCACCGGCACAGACTAGTTCCGCATTTCAGGAAGGCCTGACCTTTTCAACTTCCATGCTGTCAGTTCTAATTTAGTCTGCACCCTAGTACAGAGGCCAGCGGATTTCTCAGTGAACAACCCAGCGCTAACGACTTCGTGTGGACCCACTGTCGCTCATCACCCCAAAGCAGCCAGAGACGATGTGCAGCCATATGGACCAGGCTGTGTTCCAGTCCAAACCTTCTGACAATAAGAGGCAGGATGGACTGGGCCTGCAGGACTCGGTTTTCTGACTCCTGAGCCGGGATTTTGATTTCCACTTTTGCACAAATATGTTCTGCCACTCTCATTGTTCTTATTGCAATGGCCACATTAGGTTTCCCTCTGAAACTGGAACATATTCCTGAGTGCCTCCCTGCACTGACTCCCATGCAGGGCATGTCTCCTCTCTCCTACCCCAAACCTTCCTCTTCTTTTAGCTGTCACCAACAAAAAACCTCGTTTGATCATTCATTTTAAAGTGGCTCTCTATTTTTTAAAATCTCATTTATTTTTATTGGAAAGGCAAATACACAGAGGGGAGGAGGGACAGAAGGGAAGATCCTCTGTCCACTGATTCACTCCCCAAGTAATTACAATGGCCAGAGCTGAGCCGATCCAAAGCCAGGAGCCAGGAGCCTCCTCTGGGTCTCTCACACAGGTGCAGGGTCCCAAGGCCTTGGGCCGTCCTCGACTGCTTTCCCAGGCCACAAGCAGGGAGCTGGATGGGAAGCGGGGCTGCCGGAAGACAAACCAGCACCCATATGGGATCCAGGCACATGCAAGTTGAGTCCTTTAGCTGCTAGGCTACGGTGCTGGGTCCTATGGCTTTCTTTTTTGTATTATTCTCTTTCACAGCATTGTCTTGGCTTCAGAGCACGTATCATGGTTCATAATTATTTTACAATTACTTCTTTGCTTTTTATCATCTGAATTCCTTAGTAAACACCTATCTTTGCTATTCGTGCT